CCAAAAGAAAAGTATAACCAAAGATTAAAGGGGTCAATATAATTTCTCAAGAGTCCAGATGTATAGCTAAAGGCTATATAACCAGCAACAATGCCAGATAGGAGATACCTTCTTTTGAGTCCTTGGCCAGGGTGAACAAGGGACTCTGAATTGTAACCCAGCATAGAACTGGGAAAATGAACAGCGGACCCTAATCTTATCTAAAGGAGTATTGACAACTGATTGCTGCTAGAAGAGGAACAGTTGACCCTTCTAAAACAAAGACCTCTAGATAGGCTGACTAGATTCACCCTAAGGGCAAGTAGTGGGGATGGGCTGTGGTGCTGACAACACAGCAGACAGCAGAAGGGATATCAGAGTATAAGGGCTCTAGTGGGGGGAGGGAGGCTATGGAAGGGTGCCATCTAGGAAGTGGATGTATAGTCGAATAAGATGGTTTGGGATTTCTGTGTGATATATACACACACATATAAAGAAAAAATCAACAAATATTTTTAAATGTATTATATTTGAGGAGGAAGCATGGAAATTTATGTCATGCTAATTAGTAGAGGTGATAAACATTCCATTGAAATCTACCTGATGACTTCATAGACATACACAAGTGCCAAGGATCCAAGTGCAACCAACTATGACTAGTAATAATCAGAATCATACAGATTAAAGATGCATGTGCCAACATTTCAGTGTTAGTAGCAAAAACAATGAGTCTTTCTGCAAGGAACAATATATTCTAAAATGAAATGTAGAACTTTTGATAAGGGCTCTAGTGGGGGGAGGGAGGCTAGGGGAGGGTGCTACCTGGGAAGTGGGTGTATAAATAAATAAAAGAAAAAAAGAAAAAAGAATTCTTCAAAGCATAAAAATTTGCTCCTTAATAATTAGCAGATGTGAAAAACATTACCATTGAAATCTATCTGACGACTTTATATCCATGCTCAGATGCCAAGGAGGTCAGAAAGTAACCGACTATGACTAGTAATAATGATATATATAGAGATTAGAAACACATGTGCATCTTAGTGCCAATTGTATTAAAAATGAATTTTTCTGTATGAAACTGTATTTTAATAATGAAATGGAGATATTTTTTAAAGTTTAAAACCTCAAGATATTTTTAATTACTCTGTGTCAAGTAGATAAACCTTTTTTAAAGTTATATTGAGTACAATATGATATAACTGTATTAATTCAACTGTAAACCTAAAAATGATCTTGCATTTTAGCTCTGAAAATTGTTATTGAATATGTCAACACTGTTGTAATGAAATGCTTCTTCTAAGTATGTGGTTATTAAATATAATAATTAACTCGGAGAAAAAAAGAGAGAACTGACTCTGGGAAGTTATCCTTTGACCCTCACATAGGTGCTGTAGCATACACACACACACACACACACACACACACACACACACACACACACACACACAAATAATAACAATAATAATGAATAAAATTTAATAAAAATTTAATAAAAAGCTAATGGTTGGGGCTAAAGAGATAACTCAATTGGTATAGAGCTTGGGATCTGAGCTATTCCCCAGAACCCAGGGTTTAAAAAAGAAAAATGCCAGGTGTGGCGGCAGGCACCTGTAATCCCAGTGCAGTAGATGTCATTCTAGGTCAGTGAGAAAACTTTGTCAAAAAGGAAAAAAGTAAAAGGTGAACAGTACCTAATAACTAACACCTCAGGTAATTCTTTGGTGTTCACATGAACAGAGAGAGAGAGAGAGAGAGAGAGAGAGAGAGAGAGAGGGAGAGAGAGAGGGAGATTGTGATAGGAGGGTAAGGAAATATTCTCATAACTTAAGAGGACACACAGCACAACTTCCTCAAAGTATCAACTTAAGGAGCAAAACAAATATTTTCCTGAGAAATTAGCATCTTTCATCATGTGGTGGTGACAGATGAAGCCTGTGATCTGTGCTTCTTCACTGTCATCCTTAGGAAGGACCTCTGGCCTCTGAATCTGAGGTCCATTTATAGGGAGTTTGCATCAATTTTCCATCCAATTTAGCCTCTCTTTTTCTTTAGTTAATTTTCTCATTACTTTCTTATTTTCAGTAGCCATCTGGAAACTGGTTTGGGTTGGACAAGAACAAAATGTGATCAGCAGGGGCTGGAGAGATGGCTCAATGGTTAAGAACACTGGTTGTTCTTGCAGAAGACCCAGGTTCAAATCCCAAAATCCACATGGCAGCTAACAACTGTCTGTAACTCCAGTCCCAGGGGACTGAAGAGCCTCTTCTGACATTCGCAGACATTGCACAACATGGGTGCACTTACCTACATGCAGGCAATAGATGCATACACATAAAATAAAAATAATAAAAATTTTTAAGTGCTCAGCATAATTTACATGTTATTCTATATCATTTCTTCCACTGTCAGCTTGGCCATTTTTTGGTTTTGTTCAACTTTCATCTTTTCTTAACTTCATAGAAATCCTTCCAAAGCTCCACTTGAAGCCCAAGTTTTTTAACTCTGGCCTGTTACAGTGACAGCAGCCTACATTGGTTCGTCAGCACAAGCTGGTCAGACACTGTCACAGGTCATGAGGACAGAAAGAGCAGGCAGAGGGGTGCATTAGGCAAAGGCCATTTGTCTCCAGAGTCAGCCAGGACGTCATTGTTTAAGCTGCACATTCAGAAGACTGTCTGCCATAAATGCTGATATACACTTAGATAATCACTGTTAATTAGTTTCTAGTTAGGTGATTAGGAGTCTGCTTGTTTCATTTTGTTGTTGTCTGGCTTATAGGTTTCAGATTTTGTTGTGCTTTTTTGTTTTGGGGTGTGTGTGTGTGTCTGTGTGTCTGTGTGTGTGTGTGTGTCTGTGTGTGTGTAAGTGTGTGGTGTGTTGTTTGGTTTGGTTTGGATTGCATTGGATTTGTTTGGTTAGAACTCACCCAGTGAGGGATTTCTGACATATTTCCAACTGCTCCAGCAAGTGTGGCAATAGCTGGCCCAAGGTCTCATCTCCAACACAGCACTGAACCACATTTGGCATCTCATGTGCTCGTGTCATGATCTTCACCCAGGACTTATCTATATTGGAAAAGCGCTTGGCTTCCTGTAAGGATGAAGGAACAAAGCACATTTGGAAAGTCTGATCTCAAGGACAGAGCATCTCGCATACCTCCAACTGAGGCCGGCTTTCTAACCAGGAGGGATAAGCAAGTTATGTAAGTCTGCTGCCCCACGTTTTATTTAAGCCTCCTTGAGTCCTCTGTACTATATCACCCCCTCTTGCTGAGTAAGAATCTTTAGCTCAATTCTCACACATTATGTTAAGTAAAAACAAGATACAAAGATAACAGTACTATATAAGATAACTTCAGAGGAAAGAGCTCTCCTGATCGCTCGCTTTCATCGGTTATCTCTAAGGGGATTGAATTTGTTGTTCTCTAGTGTTCTGCAGAGTATTAGACTGCTTGTAAGCTTAGAGGACACACCAAGTATTTAAAAATAACAACACAAATTTAATTCTAGTCTAATATTGCAGAAGAAATTACATATATTTTCCAAGAGAAAATGGGAAAATGCACAAATTATTTTGAGAGTTACTTCCACCCTTAAAAGTTTCTATGTACTGGCCACTGTTCTCTGCTCCCGGTTTGGGCCCTGCGCCATTCCTGGTCTTGGGTCCCCAAACACCTGGGAAACTGGTGCTGCTTCCTGATCCTTTTCACCCAGGCCAGCTTGGTGCCTTCCTTGGGCCCCAGGAGCACTGCTTCCATGGGACCTGGCCCCACCCTCACCTCTCCCTGCTTCCCGGACCTGGACCACTGGCTAACTCTCCTGGCCAACTCTCCCGCCCTCAGGCCTCTCTTGGGGTAAGTCTACCCTGCAGCCCTCCACGCCTTGACTCCGCCAGCCTCGCTCAACCTTCCATCTCCCCCGCTGTTCTCTACTCCTAGCTTGGGCCCTGTGCCATTCCTAGTCTTGGGGCCCCAGACACCTGGGGAGCCAGTGCTGATTCCTGACCCTGTTCACCCGGACTGGCCAGGTGGCTTCCTTGGGCCCCAGGAGTACTGCCTCTGGACCTGGCTCCCGCCCCCCCCCCCTTGCCCCCCCCAGCCTCGCTCAACCTTCCATCTCCCCCGCTGTTCTCTACTCCTAGCTTGGGCCCTGTGCCATTCCTAGTCTTGGGGCCCCAGACACCTGGGGAGCCAGTGCTGATTCCTGACCCTGTTCACCCCCACCGGCTTGGTGCCTGCCTTGGGCCCCAGGAGCAATGCCTCTGGACCCAGCCGCACCCTCACCTCTCTCTGCTTCTCCGGACCTACACCACCGGCTAACTCTCCTGGCCTGCTCCCCTATCCTCAGGCCTCTCGCGGTGGGTCCATCACGGAGCCCTCCGTGCCTTGACTCCCCTGGCCTCATTCGCCCTTCCATCTCCGCTGCTGTTCTCTGCTCCTGGTTTGGGCCCTGCGCCATTCCTGGTCTTGGGTCCCCAGACACCTGGGGAACTGGTGCTGCTTCCTGATCCTTTTTGCCTAGGCCAGCTTGGTGCCTTCCTTGGGCTCCAGGAGCACTGCTTCAGCGGGACCTGGCCCCACCCTCACTTCTCCCTGCTTCCCCGGACCTGAACCACCGGCTAACTCTCCTGGCCTGCTCTCCTGCCCTCAGGCCTCTCTTGGGGTAAGTCTACCATGCAGCCCTCTGTGCCTTGACTCCC